GAGGGAGGGGCTAATAATCGGCTCAGTCATTTTTAATGATCGTTGAAAGCCCAGATCGTAGTTGTGATTAAAATTCGATTAATTGAGCAGCCCTACGGGCTACTTAAATTTATTTTGAGCTACCAAAAATTGAAGAGTCCCTGCCCGAAGGGCTACCAGGGATTTTGAAATTTTGCAAGCCCTGAATGGTTATCTGTGAGTTAGTCCACAGTGTGCAGGGTGTACCCTGGCTCTTACCCTGTGACAGCTAGTACAGGCTCACCAACACTGAAATCTGAAAATGTGATTATGTACAGAGGCAAAATAACACAACTGTGCTGCTATTCCAGCTTTTATAGGTAGGTCAGCATGTATGCAGCAGCGGCTGTGACAATTTTCGTGTGCGTCTCATAAAGGACGACAGACAAAGCATGTTGTACAGTTGTACCAGTAATCTATGTCAGTTTCAATACTGATCCCAGCCAACTGAAAGCCAGAGCAGTCTGAACAACTGTCTGGCACTCTAATAGGATATGACAGATGCTAGATTTGCAACCCGAGAAGGATCTCACCTCTGGAGTTTGGGATGCCGGTGGAGTCTTCCTCTTCTGTTGTGCCATGAAGCAGATGAGAGAATTTGTCTCTGGGGAGCCCCGGACGCCAACACTGGACCTCCGCCTGGCTTTCAGCTGTGCTAGACGAGACTTATCTGTCAGGGGAGAGAGAGGCTTGGTGCTAGACTAACACTCAATCAAGTCCATATACAGGAAATATAACCTGCTCTGGACACCTTTACTTGCTCTCCACCAGTTTAAAAGCAACAGCAGCTGCAGCCAAATAACGAACCGTCCTCTCTCACCTTTGCGATTTGATGATGCTGCTGGGGTAAAACTCTGCACAGAGATGCCAAACTGACTCGGGGTGAGCTCAGAAAAATTCAGGGGGGCTGAGGTTTGATTTAAAACTGAGGGGATGTCCTCTACTGGGGGAGGCGACGCAGCTCCCTCCTGATCACCCTCACAGGAGACAGTGCTGATCTCTGCTGTAGCCATCTGCAATGAGAACATAAGCACGACTTATAAATTAAGTGCAAGAGAACCACGAGGACAGGTAGACGGTCCTAGAGGAAACATGGATAACAAGTCGCATGCATTTCCATAACAAATGATTTCTGATGGAACGCGTGCTTTTATACGAGTGCTGAGAACAGGATTTCACCCGTTACAAAAAGAAATCCCTCCAGGGGCATGCTAACACAGACAAACACATGAAGATTTACTCAGGGGCATTTGCACACGCTCCACAGTAACAGCGTGTAATGAGTAAAGAACTAGAAATGGTCAGGAGCGGCGGGTAGCTGCGCTTACATTCCTATCTTCCTGGGTTAGCACTAGCAACGGGCAACAAAATATTAAACCCACACGAATATTGCTTAACGCTAGTTTGTGAAGACTTTACTCGTCGCTGGTTAACAGTAGTAGCAGCGGCGGTGTCACTACAGCGACAGCAAGTTTAAAATCTTACCTTGTGGATTTAGATTCTTTGGTTGTCTCTCGTTAAAAAATATATAAAAGAACATTCGGGTCTTTTATGCTATAAAAAGAACACAAGTGTCTTAACGGACGTTTATAACAATATAAAAATTTTTTTAAGAAAGAGCAGAAGGCGATTCAAATCCCCCTCCACACCAGAGCCAGAGACCGCGTATAGATCCCTCCGCGAAATTGTCAGCAACGTTCGTGATTGCAGTTATATATTTTATTTTTAAGTATATTGCTGGGAAATGTAAAATACGAATAAAAATGACTCAGCTAAAAAAATACTAAAAAAAATTTGTTACAACTGACAAAGTGTAGAGGCCTATAGAACTAACTTCCGTATTTTCAAGCACTTTGAAAGCGGCCGGAACTCGTTTAATATGAATTGGCCAATTGAAATGAAAGAGAGATACCACGTGACTGTCTAACGTCAACAGAGAAAATAGGGTTGATATTAAAAAAGTTTCTTTTACGAAGCAAACACTTGTTTGTAGCCTAGGAAAAAAAGAACTTATTTTTTATTATTCATTTTCATTTTGTTTTATTTTTTTTTAGCAGCGTTCCTGCTGTACTCCCTCAACTCTGCAGGGCCACATCTGCTGTTGGCTGCTCTGAAGCCCAGCTGCTGGAACTTAACTGGATCTCTCTCAAATTTAAATATCCACTCTGTAAGTAGACAGGCTCCTGTGCTTTTAGCATTTTCTTCTTGAAAATTGCTTATTTATTGTCACACACATGATAAAGATGTGGGCTTTGAGTCAGAAAATGAAGCACGGTACACAGGCTGCTCATCTTTTCACAGTTAAATTGTAAAATTGTAGTAAATTGACCACAAAGCTTTCATTTACATTTACACTCCACCAAAAAATTAAAACAAAAGCCCAAAATGAATGCCACAGTGGGAAAAGCAATATTTAATGCATATTTTTTATATTAACATATTTTTTGTGTTTTATAATGGTTTAAAAGGAAGCTCGGTAAGCCTAAAAAATATATATAACCCCAAACAGGTGGGTGAACAGTGGTCTACTGCTGAAAAGCTCTGTAAACCCTACCCACACACAAACAATCTCAAACACACACAGGGCTCCTCCTTTTGTGAGGTTTGGGAGTCTGTGGTGCAGCTGAGTACACTGAGATCAGATGCAACTGTGAGCCTCTTTCTACAGCTGGGACTGCCGACCACATGAAGCATGTGCCTTCTTCTGCTGACACCAGGAAAGGCTGTACAAGTCAGAGGGAAGCTTCACTGTTGTTTTTGTGCAGCACAGGATAGGGAAAGAACCACATTATATTTCCAAAAGCATTCACTCATCCATCCAAACTGAATTCAGGTGTTCCAAACACTTTAGCGGATGCTAAAGCACATATTGCGCACAGGTCACCGCCTTCCTGCAGAGTCAGTCACTACTGGCCTCCAAAGTAAATGTGGCCCTCAGATAAGCTCAAGAACAGTGTGTGGAAAGCTTCATGGAATTGGTTTCCATGACCAAGCAGCTGCACCCAAACCTTACATCACCAAGTGCAATGCAAAACGTTGGATGCCGTGGTGTAAAGCACGACGCCAATGGACTCTAAGGCAGTGGAAACGTGTTCTCCGGAGCGACAAATTATGTCTTTATTTTGCACTATGATGAAAGAGTCTGGGTTTGGTGTAAAATTTGGTGGACGGGGTTATATGATGTGCGGTTGTTTATCGGGAGATGGGCTTAGTGGCAGTGAAAGGAACCCTTAATGCTTCAGCATACCAAGACATTTTTTGACAATTTCATTTTCCTGATTGTGGGAACAGTTTGGGGAACGGCTCCTTCCGGTTCCAACATCACACCTGTGTACAAAGCAAGGTCTTTAAAAACTTGATTGAGGTCAAAACTGCGAGAACTATGCAATGAATTGGAGTGGAGCCAGGCCTTCTTGTCCAGTTTCTCACCTCACAAATTTGCTTCTGCAAGAATGGTCAGAAATTCCCATAAACACACTCCTAAACATTGTGGAAAGCCTTCCTAGAAGAGTTAAAGCTGTTTTAGATGCAAATTCGGTGTCAACTGAAAAATCAGGATATGCACAAAAAACAAATAAGAGCAGCAACGACACAACACAGAATTTTGGCTGTCAAGGAATCTAAATTGATCTTTTATGCAAATTCAGCAACAATCTATGCATTTTGTGTTTTTTAGTATAATAAATGTCATGTCAAGAAGAATGTTTTCTGTGGAAAACTAAGTACATTCTTATTGCTTAAGAGGTTAAATGGCATCTAGGTACAAATGCATTTGATTAACTGATCTTCAGCAAGTGTGAGCATCTCTACAAAAGCAGAAATTTGAGCAGTTTGCAGATCTGGAGGTTTCAGGTGTTTATTAACACAATACCACCATCTTCCCAGGAGTGGACACCAGTGCAATTACAAAAAGACTAAACTATGGCTTGTTTGGAATGCTTAGAAAGAGAAAGGACATGGCGGCACAGCATAGGGTTGAAAGTTAGAATAGAATAGAATAATCTTTTAATTGTCCCACAAGTGGAAATTTGGTTGTAACAGCAGCCAAAAAGACACATATACAAACAAACAGTACACAGGACACGGAACAGAAACATACACAATTTGTCTTACATAAAAAAGTTGAACAAACCACTAGATTTCTGAAGCAATGTCCTTTGAGGGGACAAGACCAAAATCTAGATGATTAGCCACAGTGCATACCCCCACATCTGAAGAAAACCAAATAGTGCATATCAAAATAAAACACCTCATACCAACTGTCAAGCATGATGGTGGAGGGGCAAAGAGTTGGGCTTGTTTTGCAACCACACGATATGTGCAACTTGCAGTCATTAAGTTGACCGTGAACTCCTAATGTGAGTCTAATGTGAGGTCATCTGTTCAACAGCTAAAGCCCAAATTAGGTCATGCAACAGGAAGATGATGTCAAGGTTATGGTACTTCTGCATCTAGCTGGCCCTACAGAATAGGAGCAAGCACAAAAGGAGTAACGTGGAAGGTAATTTCAAATGCAATTTCTTTTAACTCAACAAATATCAGCAAACACACAAACTGTTTGTGTGCAGTTTGTTGCACACTGTGTCTGCACAGGTCAGCTGATCATGACCTGTACATTAAGAAAATCTTCTAGGACCCTCAATAAAAATCATTGTGAGATGTGACTCTTTTCTCCACGCTGTAAGCGACTTTAGGGTTTCCCTAACTATTGAATCCCACTTTAACCCCTGACTGTACCCAATTCTTGGTTTAGGTGTGGAGCCAAATGACTCTCTACAGTGTAGCCACAGAAAATAGAGCTCTTTTTAAAAATTCTTCTTTTTCTCTGCTCAAGTTCTTATTAAGTGATTCAAGCTGAGTACATGTATTAGAAATAAAATGTAGACTAAAATAAAGTTTGTATTCCCATGTACTAATATAATTTTATTGTACTTCTACTTAATTACTGATGTGTACTTTTGCCAACTCTGCTGCTAAAGTTCTACAAGCGTTTGAATTTTGGGGTGTACTTTGCTACTCACAGGATCGCATCCAAATTTGTAAGTAAAGTAAGTGAAGTAAGCTCATAAACTAACTGCTTGCTGCCTTAAACCTTCTCGTCCCCATTCCTTTTCATTTTATGTCTCTGACAGTCTACTGTTACTCCTTGTCCAAAATAACAAACCTAAGACAGGAACTTGTCTATGCAAACATGTTCTTGGCCCTCCATCTTTTTCTTCTTCATTCATATAATTTCACAGCATGGTGCTGGGATGACAGACTCAGTGTACAGATGGTGTATTAAAGAAGTAGTCCGATTCCTTATCTGGTGCATAAACAATTACCCCATCTTGTTGAAATGTTCAGATTTTCCACTCAGTTTTGTAGTCATACTTTAGATTGTAGTAATACAATAGTTACTCAGTAGTTAAATAATAACTAAACCATCCATTTCTGGTAGGATGTGTTGCTATATACGCTTACTGTGATACTCAGTATTTGTGCTGTATGTTGCAGCTTGTCATTTCCTTTCAGTCACCTTTCTCACTCAACATGTGTCAGTCGACCTCTCTGCTGAATCACACTTGTTATTAATCTCTGTCTCTCTTCCACAGCATGTCTTTTATCCTGTTTTCCTTCTCTCACCCCAACCAGTCGCAGCAGATGGCTCCGCCCCTCCCTGAGCCTGGTTCTGCTGGAGGTTTCTTCCTGATAAAAGGGAGTTTTTCCTTCCCACTGTCGCCATAATGCTTGCTCATAGGGGGTCATATGATTGTTGGTTATATTTCTCTGTATGTATTATTGTAGGGTCTACTTTACGAGGCTAATGTTGTTGTGATTTGGCGCTATATGAATAAAATTGAATTGAATTGTAAATATGGTCTAATATTCCTCTTGATGGGGTTTGTTGCATCTTCTTCCAACTACAGTTACTTTTTAAATCCAACTATAGACTGTATGAGCATAGCTCCTGGGTCTGACAAGTAAAGTTAACATGGAAGACCCTTAAACCTGCATTTTTCTAATGGTCACTGGCAGGGGATGTCTGTACTCACAAAAGACTTCCTGTCATGCATCTGCAGGCAAAATAACATCTTTAAACACTTCCTTGAGGGCTTTATAGGTCCAGTCATTTATTCTGGATCATGCTGTTCAGGTTGGAAAAACTGGTCAGTCTCTCTTAGAAACGAGGATTATCCAGTGCAGTGATCCCCAAAGTGTGGGTTGAAAGTATTACAGGTAGGCTGCAGTAATAACAGAAATTCAGATTGAAATTACTCACAAGTATGTATAGTTATGCATTTATTTATGCAACTGTTTATGTATGCAAGTGTCCCAGTGGCAGGTGGGCCACACATTGGCCTTCACACTTTGCATATGACTGGGTATCATTAGCAATTTATAGTCAACAGCTTGTGATATGTTTTTTTAATCAAAATGTTCGTGGAATCACTCTCTCACTCTGTTTTATGTTGATAAGAGTGAAGATTAAAGATTGGGGGGGGGCCACATGGGATTTCCTGGTTTTTAAATGGGCCAAAGCACTCTCAAGTCTGGGAATGGCTAATGTAGGATATGTTCATAAAAAAAGCGTAAGAAAACAGAAAATGTACATTATATGCTATTTAATAAAGGTTTTTGTAATTGACCCTCCCCACCCAACAAACCAGCTCGCACACCTCCAGTAGATCTCTATCTTTATTTGTGTATGTCTATACACATATAAAAAATAAGGACATATGTACAATGGTAATAAATATCAACATGTTTTT